CACTGTTGTGTATCTGCACTCTATGTAGTCCTATGTACTGTACTGTGTATATATACAATATATAGAAGTTATATTGAGCAATGACAATCAAGACCTTTTGATTTGACACTTGAAAAATAAATGGAATTTTCAGAAATCACTGCTGTCCTGAGGCAAACAAAAGTATTCCAAACCGGATAAGTCACCTGATCCTCTGAATTATGAGGTTGTTTAGCAGTCAATTATAATAACAGTGTTTCATATGCATGAAGGTAAGTTTACTGTTAAACTTCAACACTGTTATATACCAACACCAGTTTCTCAAACTATGGAGTACTACTACCAAAACAGCTACCACAATTGAATGAATGTTGGTTCATATTCAGATGTCGGCTGCTTAAAGAACATAATTCAGATGATCCAGCATTATTGGGATGAAAAATGTCTGTACAGCAAAATGTATTGTCTGTTGAACATTTTCATTTGCCTCAGTTCACAACAGTGGCGAATTTCTAAAAAATCCATTTATTTTTTATATAGAGGAATTCAAAGTTTGGGCATAACGATATGACTTCTCAGGTCTATGGAAAGGGACCACCATGAGACTTCCACTGATTAAATATTGTTTGTATGGACTTTTCTAAGCCATGACTACACCATGGTAGCGGCATGTTAGTGTGTATGTTGCTAGTACAAGTGTTTCAGACACAGCAGCATTGATGGGGGTTTTACGCACTGTGTACATGTACTGGCCACTTTATTAGAAACTAGAGAATTAGAACACCTTGGTGGTACATTTTTTTTCCAATTGTTTTAAAAATATTTTGGCCTAAAATGTATTTTTTGTAATGTCTTTACTGCAGAGAGGTACATGTTGTAGGGTGTTGTAAGTCAAAATAGTACCCAAAAACTTTGGGTAGTAAACAAAATGCTAGCAGTAGTGGTCAGTTGGTGGTCCCTTTTCATTAATGATTGGGCAGAAGATGGGTGATAAATTGTGCAGCAACAGTTGAGCTACAGTCAGTAACTAAATCTATGAAGTGTACCTGTATGATAGATGCTTCAAATAAAATGACCAGCAGCTGTAGGTCCAAAGTAGCTGTACCTAATAAACAGACAACTCAGCATAGGCTGAGTACTGCATTCTGTTATGGCTCTGCTCAGAACCTTCCTTGGAACAGGTCTGTGTTCAGCAGTCAGGTTGGCACTTCTCAGCAGCAAACCACATTGTGCTGCTGTATCTAATTTGCTGTGATATTTGATTAGTAAGTGTGTGTGTCCTACTTGTGAGCGCTGCGCCTGCCTGCGTCTAACTCTCCCAAATATTTTCAGCTTCCTCAGACTTTGTTTTCGGAGCCGTGTGTTTTTTAGCCTGCTGAACTCTTTGCTCTTGTTGTTTTCAATGTCTAGCCTACAGACTGGTCTTAGCCTCTTTTTCGCTGGGAAAAAAGCTTGTGCATGTTGAAGTAGCAGTTTTAGCCGCTACCCTCAAGTAAAATGTGCAAATGAGCCTCACAAGTAAGCCGCACCGCTTGTATAATTATCATTAATCAAACCAAATTTGCTTGCTGTGAGCAGTCCCTCTCCCTAGGCAACCTACTCGGTATCTCCTGCTTTCTGTGTGCTGTAGAACATCTTTCTTAGTTGATGGTTTTCAATGCTGCACCAGGGCAGCTCTTTTGCTGGTTTGTGATGTGGTGTTTAGCTTGAAGTTCTCTTACATTTGCAATACATCTTAGGGTTGTGTGTTGCACACTCGAGTAACCATTCCAAGTGCCAGTGTTCGAGTACTTGTCATCAACCTGAAATCCAAATTGACACTTTTCCCTCCTTCATTGTCATGTTACACTCAAAACAGCACTTTGATTGAGGTGTAATGACTTACACCCAGCTTGAAAACATCTTTGATGACATCACCATCCACCAGCAGGTGGTGAAAAACAATATTAACCAATAAAAACCTTTTCCACCTCGCTTCTCAATAGGTCTATCTCAATTATTACATAATCACCTTATCAAAACAATATGATTGCAGTTATCTGAGCTGATTTTCCACAGTTGTTAGATTTCACACTCATATTAAGTAGCAACAAGCAAAATGTGAATTGGATGCCTTCGGCTGAGGCAAACAAACTTAATGTAAAGCAGTAAATACGTTCATTGAGACATTGTGGGGCTTATAGAAACAAAGTTCTGACCTCTAACTTGATGCTCTAACATGTTTAAATGAAAACATTAGTAGTAATGTTTGTTGACTGTAAGCTATGTAGCTAATAAAAATGGCAGAATAAGTGTTTTTTTCCTTATATTTCCACTTTTGTAAAGAAGATGCAGCTTTCCTTAACTCTGCACATAATTCTGTGTAACTGCAGACAGTTGTATGAGTGTTCATGCACAGCAGTGCGTGCAGTATTGATTCAACAGTGCAACCAGTGATAGCAACTAAGTAAACATAGCTAGCAAATAAGGTGGCTAATCAGGCAGTTTGGCCACTTTAGGCTTGCATTTTAATAGTTGTAAACAAACAAGAAAAGACAGTTAAATCATGAGTTGCAATCATTTATATGACACTGATCAGAGAAAATTTCATGATCATGAATTTTTCGATGAAGAAATTTGATGAAATTGAAGATGGCCTTTAATAGTGTGGCTACTACATTCACGCGCCTGTATATGTATGTGTGCCGCTCCATTTAAGGTGGAATGGAAAATTTGAACAAAAAGCTGCCAAATGAGAAGCTTAGAAAGCAGTATTTACATGGATTTGTTTTATGCAATAAAAATATTTCAGATTTATTTTGGTTGTTAAGCATTATTAAACCGCTGTTACCCTACCAAAGTTTCTAAAATGACTGTATAATCTGAGATATGCTGAAACTGTCAAATTATGGCAAATAATGTCAGTTAAATTTTCCTTTGTGAATTTCTTAGCCTGCTAGCACCAGTGCTACCATCTTAAAAAAGTAAGCATACAACCTTTATTTTTTTCTTTTTCTTATTGACCCATTTACTATGGACCAGTACGGATCAGTATTTGGCCTCTTACAAAGTTTACAGTGTAACATAACATAATTTTATATTTACATTGAAATTGGCCCATCATAGCTATTTAAATGTTAAAATTCGTCAGAATACTGTTGATAAATATGTATGCAAACACTCATTAGCTCATATGATGTATGCTATTTTCTTTTAAGTCTGTAGTATTTCTTGAGCCTTTTGCACCCTTAATGCTGGAGTCTAAAGAGGGTGGAATCAGAGTGTGTGTATGTGTGCGTGTATGTACATGTCCTCCATTGCTCTCTGTACTGAGCTTACCTTCTCTCCTTTCTCTCTCTCTCCGTCTTTCTCTCTCTATTTCTTTCTGTGTGTCTCTCCAAGTCTTCTCCTCTGTCTCCTGCTTAATCTGTATCTTTTAAATTATTCCTTTCCTTTACATTGCATTGCGTATTCAGAAGAGGCAGCGTGTAGGTATATGAAACGCAAACCTCCTCAGCCGGCTGCATGCCTCCTTCCTTTTCCTCTTTTCCACCCTATTCTCCTCTTGATTCCTTTATTCTTTTGTTCTGAGTTTTCCTGTTTTGACTGCCTTTCTTCCATTGGTAGCGTTTTTGAAGAGGAAGACAAATGAACTAAGACGACTGTTTTGATCTCCAAATTTGCAGTTATGTAAGCTGGAATAATGATTTCTTTCTCTTTTTTTTAACTTGGCTTGTACATCCCCTTTGAAATGCCTAATGTTTGAAAACATTAATTTTGAGTTTGGAGATTTGCTTTTTAAAAAATTTTATTTTTTTAATTCTGTCCTGTTGTGTTTGCTGTGTGTCGTGTGTTTTCCGTTGGTCTGTGTTGTGATGTTGACTCCATCTTGTCTTCTGTTTGCTCGTCTTGTCTGCGTTTGTCTTGTGTGACTGCATGGTCTTGGTGCACGATGGGGGTCTCGATCTTTCCTCTCTCTCTCTCTCTCTCTCTCTCTCTCTCTCTCTCTCTCTCTCTCTCTCTCTCTCTCTCTCTCTCCCCCTTCAAGTGATGAAGTAAAACATGGTTTCTCCCTTACCACAGTTGGATTGATCAGCCAATCTATGAGGCTAATGTAGCTAACAAGTAACAAAATCATTGTACAAACTGCACCAAATCATCACCACTTGCATCAAACGATGCTGAGTTGGTAAGTGGTCTTAGATAGTCTTTCTCATGTGGTTTCTGACTCTGTATTCTACCATAGTTGTGACAAACAGGGTGACAAACGAATGCTGTGTAAGTCAAGTGTAAAAGAACATCAGTTATATTGAACAACCACTGACCAAATTACTAAAATCTGAGCTTTTCTAAAACATAATCCACTGCCTTAATTTCACATTCATTTTACATTTCACATTAAAGTCACATTGTGTGTAGAAAATTAAAAATATTACACTCATTCTGTTATTTTATTTGAATTCGAAAATCAGGCTTTTCTTGTGCACAGCATCAGTAAAAATCACTAAAAATTGGAATTTTTTTTTTTTTTGGGTTATTTTAGGAACTGAACCAAGGAAACAGACATTGATGTTCTGTGGCTTATTGTTATTTTGAGCACATTTTCATGGCTTAAAAGTGGTTGGACACCATTTGCCTCTGCAATGCTAGAAAGACCCATGACTTCTATAAAAATGTCTGTAATTTTGTCCATTTTAAAATATAAAAGTATGTCACACAGTGTCAGGACCCGCATAAGCGAGTCTCTGAGGAAGCGTGTGATGATTTAGATGTAGTTTACACAAAGCGGATTGTTGGTTTGGAAATGTCCATGACCTGTTGGGTACAGTAGCCTATTAAAATCCCGTACAAATCTGGGAAAAACAAGTTCAGATGTGTGAAATGTGTGAATGGCTGATTGACTTCATGTTGCGTAGGGGGAAATTGTGTAAATTAGATTTTTACTGAAGTGTTGCTTTCTTCACTCTTTCTTTGTTTTCTCTTTCTCTTGCTCTTTCTGTCTGTCTCTCCATGATGAATAACGCTGTGTCTCCTCTCTGCAGGGGATGTGCTCTTTCAAATGGCTGAGGTCCACCGACAGATTCAAGTGCAGCTAGAGGAAATGGTGCGTAATCCTCCTCAACTCCCTCCTCCCTGCTGACAGCTCTTAGGATCATGTTGTGATACTGATCTTCACAACAGGCTCAAAATCTGGAATCTGAAAGATCAACATCGGAGCCAATCGAATCGTATTTTACTGATCTGTTTTTGCTAAATTAAGTCTGATCACAGTCCAATCCTTTTTCACAAAAATGCATAACTCAGTCATAGAGGTGTAAATAAAGTCATTCAGAGTGGTTTGATGTGAAGTGCATTGTAGAGAAACTTTCATGCCTCAATTTCTTTAAAGTGGTGATGATAGGAACCAGGGGTCACAGTGTCTAAAACACACATACAGCCATTTTATCTCTACTGAACCTACATTGAGTTTTTATGTGTGATCTTTAAATAGTCTTACTTTTGTGGTTTCAGACACTGTATGAACATCATTCTACCACTGTGGTGGCAAATGGGTTGGAATGTTTATATGTAACTCAAGTGTAAAACGTAGTCTGTTATATTGAACATCAGTAACGTCACCACTGACGGTAACACAGCTGACCAAATGAGTAGAATATGAGCTTTTCCAAAATGATGTCCAGTGCCACTTAATTTTAAAAGTCAGAAAATTGCAAATATATTTAAAATATAAATATATTTCATTAAGTTTCTTCATTTAAATGCAAAAGTCACTTAATTCTTTGAGTAACACCACTGACAGTTTTTATATGACGTGAAGCTGTCAGTGTTTTAGCCAGATTTATCAGAAGTATAAAAAGGAGGTCTTGTCTGATAGGAACTCGGGGTCACAGTGTCTACATCACAACTATAGCCATTTTATTTACTTTCCGAAACCACCAGTGAACCTGCAGGTCCTCTGCGGTTTTATATGTAGTGGTAAATCTGAAAACGTTTTTATTCGCGGACTATTTTGCTTTATATGTAGCTCTCCACTGTGAACGAATAGTGTTAGCCTGGGGATGGGCCGAGCCACGTGGGCTCGGAAGCGAACCCCAAGAGAATCCCAAGGAGCACACACAAAGGTCAAATGTGGGTGCGAAGTGGAGTTTTTATTTGAACATCTGAAAGCAAAACAACTCGCTCACAACTCAGGTTCAAAGTGCTCTCCAAACACACACACACAAACATACATGTGATATATAGATATATATGAGGCAGCATGTTCATAACTATTTCATATAATAACTTTCTGTGAGGGAGCTTTTAGAGGCATTCAGCTCTTCAGATGTCTGGTTCCTATCGCCACTGTGAACAGTTCTGACTCTTAAGTTTCTCTTATACTGAAGATTTCACATCATACCACACTAAATGACTTGGTTTGAATTCCCCTTCAAGGCTATATTTTGCCATTGTGCTCTATTTACATCACTGTCCTAGATAGAGTTGGGGATTTTAACACCACTGATAATTCCGTCCAGTGATTCTGAAACTGATACTTTCAAAACAAGAGTGGTCAGTGTCTCTTATCAGCAAAGACTATTTAAATATACAACTTGTGTTGTCAAATAAACTAAATGGTAAGATGTTTTTCTGCTTACTTCCATACTTGATGCCTGTAGTGCATTCAGCATGAGCATGCCTGTGAGCCTGGTCCTTATAAATAGGGGAACTAATGTTTTCAACCTCTCTCCTCTGTATTTTCTCTGCAGCTGAAGTCCTTCCACACTGAGCTGCTTTCAGAGCTGGAGAAGAAAGTGGAGCTGGACGCTAGATACCTGACTGTGAGTTTCCTATACAAGCACACTCTCTCAGAACCTTGTAAAAGGAGAAATAACTGTATGACTGCGCTCCCCACCGTAAGCCTATAGCTCTGCTCGGTATCCTCCAGCAGTGTGCAGAAGAACACTGTCTATTCATATTGCAGCTCCTGGCTAGAGAAATGACTGACGGCTGACTTTCACACACAACAGGAGATTGCTGGGCTTTATATAGCCACTCACTCTCCCCAGCTTCATGTTATTCAGGCAGTTAATACTGCAGCAGAGCGATGGTGTCCTCAGCCATGTTGTTTTTCCCCATCTCGCCTCAACAATGCAATGAAGATGAAAATATGTGTGGAGCATCGCATGGCGCGATATCTTTAGAACGAGTGGGCCGAGGCAGACGAGCTGTGTGGCGCTACAGTATGGGAATCGCGCCTTGGGGGGATGGGGAGGGGGGGCTTTACTTCCCATTATACTGCATTGTCGGTCATCAGACATTCAGCTGATACGTCACCCTGTCGGCTCACCATAATCAGTCAGATACTGATTATGGTGAGCCGACAGGGTGACGATACTGGTGCTAACTGCCTTTTTAAAATTTTTTAATGTATTTTTTTTCTGGAAACTGAACAAATGTGAGAAATCCGTGTCATCGACTTGTGTCAAGCCATCTTCACTTCAGGCTACGGCAGCACCAGTTATGAAATCTCTGTTTATGCCTGAAAGGTGATTAAGAAATCCATTTGCTCTGCTGCCATATAAAGAGTCTTTTAGTTCATGCAGTTTTTGATTTATGCCCGCAGATTATCGTTAATATGCTCTGACTACGAGCACCGATGGTCCTTGCGTCCTCAGTAAGAGTGTGATTTGCCTTCTTTCAGCCATTGGCTCTGCAGAGGCAGCTATAGCCTGTATGGCAGGGGAGGGAACTGAGGGCTGGAGTCCAGCAGACTTTAGTAATTTCTTTGCACCACTGCTCTGTGCCTTTTTATGGACCTAAATTAGAACCTAAATGTTGGGCCAAAATCTCAGAATGTGCCTGCTACATGTCTTCTTAGGCTGGCTTTACTCTGTGAAACACTGATGCAGCTAGTTGCATGTTGTGAGGTGCCTGCAACATAATTTCTGTGCAACTTGACAGTTACATGCATATATTGTTACTATACTGTTTCAATCTCAATATAAATTGATCAGTTTATCATCTTTTTTTACGTTCTTTTTAATCTAGATATGTCCTTTATCTGTCTTTTTAGGGTTCTTTACTATGTATTTTAGCTTTTTATTTGTCAAGATGGTGTTAAAAAAATGTTGAAAATTTGTTTATGTAGCTGTTACCATTATAGCCAACATAATGGTCTCGCTCATTTTGTCCTAGAAGCCCAAAGACAATAATAATTTTTGTCGTTTACGTCCCAAATCAATCTGTGAATGTGTAAAATTAGGGGACTACAAGTGAGAAGAAAATAATCCAGGTACGTGGATCATCATAACAGCAGGCTAACAAAGATGAGTTAACAGTGGGACCGACCTTGAGTCAGCTTCTGTTATATTTTCTTGTCCACTGATTTGGTGAAATCAATTCTTTAAAAGTGTGCCATTCGACATGCTCACTTGTGTTATTGGCGTTATTGCCTGCAGCTGTCGAGGCTGATTTTCAAATGAGGTGCAGGACGCTTTACATTATGCAACTCAAGTGCAATGTAGTTTCATGTAGGTTTTTAAGCAACTAAAGTTGCATAGAAGTTTCACCATGTAAAGCCAGCCCTAAGACACATGTCTAAGAAGCCACTAAAAAGAATACAGCATGGGATCATGGACAGCTTGCAACAACAGCCAGTGGACGGTGCGTTTTTGCCTGACCCTCACAAACACATGGAAGCTGATTTCCAAATGACTGATTAATGTGTCAATACAAGGGCTAAATTGGAGCAGGTTCTGTGTCAGGCCTCCTTCAAAAGAACATTTTAGTTTCCATATCAAACTCTTGCTATTCATTTCAGTGGAAACAGTGTGTTGACTGTGGAAGCATATCATTTTGTTGACATTTCGTTTACACAAAGATTTAGATGCTTTATAAGTTCTTTTCAAAACAGCATATTTATGTTAATGTAATTATGCAGTAATTGTGTCAAAACGATTGTGTTTTGCCCCCTTTTTTTGCTTTGAAGCGTGAATGAGACAAGTGTGGATAGTGTAAGCAAAATAAGCATACCATTTTCCAACAAGATGAATCAAACTAACAGCTATTCAAAATCAAGTTTACTTCAAGGATATTTTGGGGGGGGAGAGATGCAAGACAGTCAAAGAAGCCTCTCCTGGATCAAGTCTCTTCATCCAGTATACATTGCTGTTTTGGCTCAGAGTTTGTGCTTTTAGTGGCTATTATTTGTCCTAGTTTGAAGTAGCAGTTGAAAAAAGTCTTTTAGTCTTAAGGAAAAATAGAGGGCAGTTGTGTTGTGTTAGTTGGATGAGTGTGCCGAGTGGATTAGTGTTCATTTGTATATGTGTGTCAGTCCTGGAGTGAGACCTGTTCAGACAGATGTCAGATATGAAGATTGGACGGCACATTATAAAGATAATGTCAGTGACTAAACGACTGGGTGGTATAATCAGATTTAGACCACTTTTATCTGCAGTCTGAATGTAGCTTTATTTGTTCTGGTCCAGCTAGTTCAGTAGGGTAACAAACTCTGCACCTGTTGATTGAAATGTGCTAAAGAACGCTTGTTTTCTGTCAGAAGTGATGTGGCATAGCGGCAAAGCATATTTCCAAGTTATTTGTACATGCTTTAGGGGTACTTATCATGTGACAAAGAAGCAAAAACAGACTTGACGATTGCTACGTAATGGGTGTAATATTGACACTGCACAACAGCACTTAGAATTTCAGCACAAGACCAGAATAATGTAATGAGGATGGGTGACCCAATACTGAATTTCTTGTGTCATAGGCCTGTTGTCATGCAGCACATGTAAATAAATAAAATGTGCCACAGAATTTGGCTAATAAAATCTTCTGACATGATATACAGTGTGACATACAAAAACATATTATTGTGCAGTTTGCAGTGAGCTTAAAATGCCACATGCTTGTGTTCAGTAAATTCCTGGAGAACTGCATCCTGTACTGTAGCTTTTTTAAGCCTTAGTGCATCATGGATTATTTATGTGTTTATGAGTCGGTTGAGAGTGGAAGGCAAAAAAGTACCGTTATCCAATGAGAAACACCACTGACTGCATGATAAATGAGTGCTAGCCATCGCTGTCAGATCGTCCACTCACGTCTCTCTGGACACGTTCCTGCAGTGCACAGGGCTTTGCTCCAGTGGCCATGGTAACCGTTAAGTCATGGACATGAAGTTTGGAGCTTTGGCCTGCATTATTGAAGCATGTGCAGGTGCACGCATAGAGCTGTTCTTATGTCTCAGGGTCGTCCACTGGTCTTTTTAGACACAATTATAGAGAAATTCAGACACAAGCAGTGCAGAATCTAAAGAAATATTTCTTGAAAATTTGGACTGAATCTTTCAGAGCCTGATCACTGTGTTTTTTCCTTTTATGGTATGTTTATAAACCTGTTTTTGAAAGAAATTGTAATAATTACAGTAATAAAAAATATGTAACATCAACAACAACAACACATTATGTTGTTGTTGTTGTTGTTGTTGTTGTTGTTGTTGTTGTTGTTTTTGTTATTATTATTGTTATTATTATTATTATTATTATTATTATTATTATTATTATCATTATTATCCTTTTTCCATCTAAATGCTTCCAGCTTCTTTGAGCCATCCGGTAACTTTGTGTGTGCCAACTTTCTCTGAGCTCTTCAGTAACTTTGTGTACACTGCCTCCTGACCTCATTACTAACACTGCATGCGTGTGTGTCTCCTGAAGGCGGCTCTGAAGAAGTACCAGATGGAGCACAAGAGCAAAAGCGAGAGCCTGGAGAAGTGTCAGGCTGAGCTGAAGAAGCTGCGTAGGAAGAGCCAGGGCAGCAAGAACCCGTCCAAGTACAACGACAAAGAGCTGCAGGTGAGGCTTCCGGCGGCCGCTGGCCCCTTCGTCCCCACCCTACTCTTCTACATAATGTACAGGTTTACGCTGTATACCCACTAGGAAAGCACTAGGATTTGCATAAACACACTTACAAATGAAAAGTGGTAAATTGAAGATTTATGTATTTGGTTGTTATTACTGCTTGACACAAGCAAGAGGGACAAATTAACACTGACGCACAGTTCTCAACAGTCAAGCTGACTGATGAACAGAAAACTAAACCTAAGACCATGATAGTTTTTTGTTTGTTTGTTTGTTTGTTTGTTTGTTTGTTTGTTTGTTTGTTTTGCCAGATGGCTTGCCCAATAGACCTTTTAGAATCTTGAGGTCCTCTAAAATATTCACACAAAAACTCTTTCCCACTCTGAGTTAACATTTAATGCTACCAATTGCTATCTTGACTAGCCTTGTAGATGGCAGCTAAATTTGACTCATGATGAAATTGACCCATAATGAATATATTATTTTAATGGCAAGAAATAATTATTTTTACTTCAGTTATTAAGTAATAAAGTAATAAATAACGTATAAAGTAATAATGTTAGTCATACTAAACAAAACAAAAAAAAAAACCCCAAAGTTTTTCTTTCTCCTGAAAAGTTACCATTGTGGAGAAGTGATGATGTCTAAATCACTTGGCTTGCCAAGGAAATACCAACTAACATTATACCATACAGACGATGTATGCTAGCAAGCTAGTGAGGCTAACTGTGATGGGGTTTTCTAGTCACAGCATAGCTACTACATTCTTAAAAACAAAGATTCTAGAATTACTTTTTAGGAGATTTAGGAGTGAGCTGGGCCACATCAGGAAAGTTCTGGAAGGCCTGCTAATGTGACTCGCCTACATTGTGAAAAGGATGCATTTATGTTAATGTAGTATGAACTTAAGTAATGCTTGGTGCCCTGTGCTTTGTTCAGAACTAGTAGGCAGAGAGTGTAGGAGTGTGTACAAATAGTCATCAGCAGACCTGCTGGATATTACACACCCTCTCTCTCTCCCTCTCTCTCTTTCTCTCTCTCTCTCTCTCTCACACACACACACACACACACACGCTTCCTGCAAGTATCTATCTTAACAGGCTTTTTCTCCCCTGCTCTGTGTTTGGCTATGGTTGCTGGTAGTGGAGCAGACCTCAGCTCACTGCTAAATTGCCGTGTGTGTGTATGTGTCTGTGTACGTGTGTGTGCACGTGCCCACTGCGAGCAGAGCGGTGTACGACAGCAGGGTGGTGAAGTCCTAGTGGAAATCAATAGGCTTTGCTCTGTATTTGCGCTCTGAGCGGCCCTGTGGCCCTGGAGTGGTTTTCACGCTTTAGTGGCTATGAAAACGCTCCGCAACTGACCCCATTACCTCACTGTAATACCCCACAATACCCCATAAAGCACGCAGAACGCTGCTCTGCCATTATGTTACTGATGTGCTTGGGTACTTGGTTAACCATCCGAGGTGCCAGTATTCCAAATACTGAAATCACTGTTAAAGTATTCGCTACATTTCATACCTGAAAGGCCAAAATTGTATACCGACCATTCAGTGAAACACAGATTCTGTGTTTAAACAGAGCTTTTGAACTGTTGAACTGAAAGGTCTGCGATAACAGAACAGAGCAAATTAGATTACACTGGCACAGAGAGACGTGATTAGATTGGCTGGAATCAAACTCTGTTCTTCTGTGTACAGATCGACTGTGTTATCCACTCTTATGTATGATCCCTTTCAAAGCAGAGTAATTGCTTCATCCTAGCCTATAAAATAGTGCATTCCCTGAAGTAACAGAAGAGTGATTGCACAGCATAAACAATTTCCCAGTGGTTGCTACTGTGTTGCCTTGTGGTTACTATGGTCTTTTAGGTGGTTGCTAGGGTGTTGCTAGGTGGTTGCAATGGTGTCCCAAAGGGTAGCTAAGCTCTTGCTATGGTTGCTATTGGATTCTTGATGGTTGCTAGGGTGTTGCTAGACAGTTACTATGGTATCCTGGGTGGTTGCTAGGTTATTATGAGGTTTCTATGGTATCCCAAGTAAATGATAAGGTGTAGAAAATGAAGAATGTACTGTTGGATAACCAAGCATTGCACAGTGCACTAATGACATGATGACTCTTCTCACTCCTGGTCTTGTGTGTAAAAGCCAAAAGCATTCCATTATACAGTCTTTCATTAAGCAGTCTTTCATTTTGTTTTCCTTCCCTGACACTTTCATGTAAATAGCCTTATTGCTGCAGGCCTCTGCTGTATCCCCCTTAACCCCCTTAATGTATGTATGTATGTATGTACTGGAGCCCATATTGCAGGCAGGCCTGTCTTATATATATATATATATATAAGACAGGCCTGCCTGCAATATGGGCTCCAGTGTGACAAACTACTGTTGCAAGCAATTTAAGCACCTAAAAGGTTTGAGTGCTCATAAGTGCTGACATCACAAGAAGGGAATAAAATGCAGGGTAATATCTTTATTATTTCAGACTGACAAAGAATAAACATTTTGCAAAGTTGAGTGTCCCCAAACGTTTGACAAGCAGTTATGTATGTGGCATGAGATGAGGGTATTTTTCTGTGGAAGAAATAGAGTAGGGTGTGTGTACCTTTTATGTTGTTTAAATTTCTACCCACATTTGTCCAGTCTGTGTAAAAATGCTGGATCAGAGGTTAAGTCTAGAGCTGTCACTGCTAGATTGATTCTGCCACTGCTGAGCCTGGATGAGTGCTCTCTGGGTGCTGTCAGATGTCCTGCAGATAGCAGGCAGCGTCTCAGTGGAGCTCCAGCTGTACGTCAGCCACAGAGTGGCTCCACCCTCAGCAGCCCTGTGCATGAATATGTGTCACCAGTGCTTTGGATTAGCTGTGGATTCATGGAGACACAAAAGTGGAATGGCAGCATTTTTCAGACTTTTATGTGTTTCTGGTCTTTTTTCTGGCTCTGCTGGTCTTCTTCAGACACAGATACTAAGAGGGGAAAGCAGTCCTCCATTTCGTTTTCCCTTCCTGCCGTTTTCATGTAAATAGTCTCGTTTAGCCGCAGGCCTTTGCTGTATCCCCCTCAGCCCCCAAACCTACCCAGTTACGCTGATGTAAAAAGATGGATAATCAAACACGCGTGCAGCAGTGCTGGGGAATGATGGAGGTGTTGAAATAACAGTTTGTGTGCTCCAGCGTTTTACACTCAGTGGAGAGCCCACGCCTTTCAAATCAGTTTGTTTAAGTGCGGGTACGTTTCTCATTCTGTCTCCTTTAGCATTTTCACAGCTCTCTCACTCTCTGTCTGCCTCTCTCTGCCTCTCTCTCTCTCTCTTTCTCTGTTTCTCTATTTCTTTCTTTCTTTCTCTCTCTCTCCTTCCCTCTGCCTCTCTCTCTCTGCCCCTCTCTCGTTCTCTCTCTCTGCTCCTCTCTGTTCTGTCTCTCTGCCTGTCTCTCTCTCTGCCCCTCTGCCTCTCTCTCTGCTGCAACCTGTCTTGTCTCTATGCCTCTTTCTTCCCTCCCTTTCCCTCTGTCTCTTTCTGTTGCTCCCCCTCTCTCGCTGTCTCTCTGATTCTCTCTCCAATTCTTTTTCTGTCTTTTGTTCTCTCTCTCTCTCTCGCGCTCTCTCTCTCTCTCTCTCTCTCTCTCTCTCTCTCTCTCTCTCTCTCTCTCTCTCTCTCTCTCTCTCACACTCTCCGTCTCTCTCTACCTCTGTCTGCCTCTCTATCTCTCTCATTTTCCCTTTTTGTCTTTCTCTTGCACCCCTGTTTTATTAGACTGTATTGGCATCATTTTTTGCATGATATCATGATGCCAAGGCATTCAATAGAGCCTCCAAAAATAAAACATGCTGAACAGAAGAATCTTAATATATACAGCCATAATTATTGATAGTATCGGTGCATATGCACAACAAGAACAGACAAACAAGCAACAGAAAATGCATGTGACTGCACAAATTACTGTAATGCAAAGTTATTGACAGTCACTGTGCTGCTCATGGAGGACATTCTATCCATTATGTTGCTTGGCAGACATAGCCTGCTAACTACGCTGCTTTATGGAATTATGTATTGAACTCCAGTTTGCATCCTCTCTCTCTCTCTCAGACCAAAGATTAAAGTTTAAACAGCTGAAAGAATTGAATGCTGATATTGTCACGACTGTTTACATGTCTAATATTCTTTTCCACTAAATAAACCTGACTAGATGGCACTGTGCAAAGTCAGCTGCAAACTGACAACGAAAAACTTTTTTGTTTGTATTAAAAACAGTGTTAGGTGTCCCAAAACCTTTGACACACACACACACAGACATATTGGGCACAGACTGCTCCCTCTGCCTGCCACTGAATGCTGGGATTAGGAGTGGGAATTACTGTGGGGTAGAACAAGCTAGATGAAAGAGTGCTGATGGTGAAGGAGTGGATGAATGCAGGCTGAGCTATAGTTTGCAGATATGGCAGCACCCAGCAGAGAGCCCCTCACACACTACCTCCATCCTTTATGACTTCTGATTAAATGGGTAATGCATGATGTTAAACAGTTTACGCATGTTAGTGAATGAAGGTCTCCCCTAATAGGGCCTGAGTTCTATTGTTCTTGTACTTTATTCCTTGAAGGCGCTCATAAAGGGCCCATATCTTACCTTTTTTACGTGACTCTGTTCCAGCCTCTCTTTATCTCTTAAAATTTAACAGGCTGTCTTTGTTACTGAGCCTTTATGAGCCAAAATATTATGACCACTCACAGATTCAGGGAATAATGTTGATGATCTCATAACAATGGTGCACAAATGTAGAATATATTAAATGGTAAGTGATCAGTTGGTTCTTGTAGTCGACGTGTTGGGTGCAGTAGAAATGGGCAGGCATGGAGACTTGAGGGACACATCTTTATGTGAGCATCTCTGAAAATGGCAAGGCTTGTGGGGTAATTCCAGTCGGCAGTGGTGAGTACCTACAGGCAGCGGTCCCTAGGAGAGACAAACCACAAACCGATGACAGGGTCTTAACT